GAGCAGACCTGCTGGCAAAAGGGGACCAGCCTGGAATACCAGCACTTCGGGAGGCCAAGGCAGGAGGATCGCTTGGGCACAGGAATTCGAGACCAGCCTGGGCAACATAGAGACCTTTTTTGTAGAGACCCAGTCTCTACAAAAAAATTAAAAAATAAAAAAAAATTAGCTGGACTTGGTTGAGCCTGGGAGGTCAAGGCTGCAGTGAGCCATGATCGTGCCACTGCACTCCGGCCTGGGTGACGGAGGAAACCAAAATGAAAACCAAAAACAAGGACAGAAGATACAGAGAAGATCCAGCACCATGCTAACCTCAGAGGAGGCGGCACGGGTTGGTGACCATTCCCGGAGTTTTTTTCTTAAGGACCCTCATTCAGTCCAGGCACGGTGGATCACGCCTATAATCCCAGAGCTTTGGGAGGCCGAGGCTGGTTACCTGGCTTTGGGGTGATCGAATCCCTGCAGCACTGGGGGGCTGGAGCATCCTCAAGGGCAGCCTCTCTTTCAGCCCATTAGCAGCTCATGCATTTTGCTCTTAGATGACTCAGAGGCAGGAAATCAAATCATCTCACTAAAGTCACTAAAAAACTGTCGTTAAACTAGTAAAGATGCTGTGCTTTCGATCAGAGGACAGTGCGTTTCTTCATTCACTGAACCCTGGCTGAGCCCTCCTGCTGTGGGAGGCTGCCCCTACAAGAAACGGAGCTCCTGCCCCCAGGTTCCCCTGAGTAGCTGAGGGACGTGGACAGGAAACCAGGCCTGCAGAGTGGAGGGTTCTGCTGAGAGCAGAGTCATCACCACAGCCCGTCCCCAGGGAGCCCCCCATGGAGGCTGTATAAGCAAACATGGCCCATGGCAGGCAGGATGTCCTCACACAGGCTTGAAGAAGGGGCTGGGGGCTGGGATGCCTGTGCCTTTAACAGGGCATGTAGCCCACCCCACACCTCACTCTCCTGGGTCTAGCTGCTGAGCTAACTTCCAGAATTCCAGAATCACAAACTCAACTCGGGTTGGAAACACTGCAGCGACTCAGTCACTGGTTCCATGAACTTGGGGTGGGGTCCGAGAATCTGCATTTCTCACAAGTCCCAGATAACGCTGATGCTGGAGTCCCAGGGACCATGCTTTGAAGACCCCTGGTCTGGAGGCGAGGTCGAGGGCCAGGAG